ATGCTAGCAGACATGGCTCCTGCTCCACACATAGATGTTTCTCTCCCTTCTTTCTTCAGTTAGTGGCACTGCTAACCTGGAATCTTTCCTTCTAAACTTCACCATCACCAACTTACTCTATGCAGAAGACATGGGGAACCCAGGTTCTGACAAATTCAACTCTACAGAGAGGGACCTTCAGCTCCAGGTTAGTCTTCCTCACTGCCTGTCCCATCCCCCAACTGCACAGCCGCCTTCCCCATTCCTTGGTTGGGATTTGTCTTCTCTTACCCCAGGATCACATGACTCTTTCCTTCCTTCGCCAGATCAGTCTCTTATTCAGAAAAAAGTAGCATTGGCCCCTTCTACTCTGGGCAAGGTGACTTTTTGAGGTAACCATTGAAATGTGTCCCCATACCCTTGAGGATTAACCTCCAATGGAGCGTGGATAAAAAGGAAACTTGTTCATGTACTTGTTTTCTAGTTTTCTCTAGTTTCAAATTCAAATCCCAAACAACTTTATCCCAGTCCCTCTCATCATGAGTTCTCAGGAAAGACAATTTCATTCGTAAGTAATGATTTAGAACAAGCAGTCTAATGTCAAGAATGTTCTCTGGTTTTCTCAGTACTCAGTAATGCTAACTCATCAACTATTCCAAGGTCACCATCAGCCTTTCCCAGGTCACCTCAGTTTAACTATCTCTAGACCCAGAATCCTCATCGGGTTTCTCAGCACCAATTTCGTGGGTATCCATGTCACCCTACACATTTTTTTTACCTAGACCTATGAAGAAGAGATTTGCAGCTGGAGTGGATTCCCTGTGTACCCATCACATTGTCCCTGCCAACCCTGTCTTGGACAGAGAGAAGGTTTACTGGGAGCTGAGCAGGGAGACACATGGTATCACCAGGCTGGGTCCCTATGCCCTGGACAAGGACAGTCTTTACCTTGATGGTGAGCTATCTACCTGAACCAAAATCTTGGCTACTCTCCCTGCCAAGTCTTCTGCTATACCCTCAATATCATTGTCTCTTCACATTTTAAAGCATTATTCTTTTATCCAGGCCCTAACTCCACCCTTACCCAGAATCCTTTCTTCAATTCCTCCTTTGTTCGGCTAACTATAAGAGATAGAACCTACCCACACCTGATTCCCTAGACTGCCCAATACTTGGTGCCCTTCTGAGTTGTCATCTATTGTAGCCACAGATATTTGTACTTCATCCTACTTTTTTGGTCACAAATCCAGCCTTTTCAGTAATTACTAGGTTGGAGATGTAGATGGCAGCAAGTAGAAGTATAGATAACATGAATTTTAGCAAGGATAGCTATCTAAGAAGTAGGATGGAATCAGAAGCTTGAAAAAGTCTCAACACACTGAAATAATGGTTCAGTTCCAACAAGGTGAAATTTAATAAGAATCAATCTGTTCTGTAGGGGAAGGAAGTGGATTGGAAGGAGAAGGATCTGGGTTCAAATCCTAGCTTTGCTATTTTCTGGTTTGGCTGTTGACTAACTAACTAATCTATATGGGCCTCAGCTCTGTCTTCTGTAAAATAAATGTGTTGGCCAAGATGTGGTCTGTGCCAGCTCCAAATTTATGATTTTAGAATCCTAAGTTCTGTGTTTAGGACTTTAAAAAAAAAATCTAAATAAGTATATAGATTTGGGGAGACAGGACTAGATAGCATTTTATTTGAAACTAATGAGAGCCATCCAAGTGATATGGCAGGCAAAAACAACACTCATATGTTAATATGTTAATGCATCATCCTCGGGCATGGGAATTCCCTCCCATGAGGCAAATTACAGCCTATCAAAAACTTGTCATCTTAGAGAGTTGCCTGAGCCTGAGATTAAGTGATTTTCCAGGATCACACACAGTTCTTTCAGTGTAAGACATGGGTTCTGAGTTAGGATCTTCTTGGCTCTGAATTCCCAGTTCAAGCCACTTTCCCATGCTATCTCTGGTCATAAATGAGTAGTCTGCAAGAACAGAAGTTTAGGAGCCTGAAAGGAGGAAGGTGACAATCCCATTTTCCTCTGCCTTGACAAGCTGAAGCAAGTCCATTTTGAGAAGCCGCAGTCTGGAGAGACAATTGAAAACTATAGGGTAGAGGCAGATAGGCAATGCTGTAGATAGTGTCCTGATACTAGAGTCAGGAAAACCTGAGTTCAAATCCTGCCTCACAACTCACTGGCTGTGTGACCTGGGCAAGTCACTTAACCTCTCTGATCCTCAGTTTCCTCATCTGCAAAAGGAGGAATAATAATAGTAACACCAATCCTCATAAATCTGTTGTGAGGATTAAAATGAGATAACACGTCCAAAGTGTTTTGCAAGCCTTAAAGCACTGTATATCAAATACTAGTGGTGATGATGGTGACAGCTAGAAGGAACTGTTCGTGTTTAGCTTGGGGACATCACGATAGAATTCTTCAATTATCCAGAAGAGTGTAATAAGGAAGAAGGTTTGGATTCTGCTGGACCCCAGAAGGCAGAATTAGGAGCAATGAGTGATTCCTTAGGCCAGAGAAGGAAAAGTCTACATTTGCTCCCACAGGAAATCACTTAAAGCTACAAGCCTCTTTGGTCTCTCTTCCTTCCTGGCTGGGTCTCAGACAAGAGTTAGGCAGTGGACAGGAGAATTTTCTCTCTCTCTCCCCACAAAGATGCAAGTCCCGTGGTTGCCCAGGGGTGATAAACTAAGTCCTTATTTCAACTGAGCCTCCAAGCTGCTCTCTTCCTTTTTCTCTAGAATTAGGTACTGCCTCCCTTAACTGTCCATTCTTTGTTTTCTAGGTTATAATGAACACAGATTGGTCAAACCTACTGCCAGTAATTATTGTGCCATCCAATTCCACCATCAGCCATCTGTTGGTCCTAAGCCTTGTTCCCTTCCTGACCCCAGAGGTGGGCCCCCAGTGTGACAAGCTCAACCACATGTGGCCTGTGCTAAGGGCTATGCCCCCTAAGCCGTTTCAGGTGTTGCCAGGAAGGGATCTCAAGCATGGAATGGGCTGCCTTGGGAGGTTGTAGTGCATTTCCTATCCCTCTTCAGAGGGAGGCTGGAAGTGCCCAAGGTCACAAGTAGTAAGTGGCAAATATGGCATTTGAACCCAGATCCCGTGTCCCTAAATCCAGCACTCTTTCTAACACATGCTGTAACCCTTCATGATCTAGAGCCAGAGCCTCAAGCCTCCAATGCTTCTTTCTGAGTTTGGGTGGTAAGGACTCTCCTAGCTGTCCCCACAAGCAGGTCAGAGGGATTGGTACAACACAACTGATTTTAAACTCTGTGGCAGAGAATGGGGAGGAGTGAGAATGAACTCACATGATGGTTCCCTGGGGAGCCCTGATTTCAACTTGCCTGATTAATGGAGTCACCAAACCCTCAACGGGCACACTGAGGAGAGGTCCTGAAGCTCAGCCTAGCAGCAACTGCATGAGTACATTCTGTCAGCCACTCATTGAACAAGTAGTAGAGGCACTGCTCTCATCTGGGACTTCTCAATGGAGGTCTCTGGGCTGGTGTCTAATGAGCCCAACTTCACTGAGCTCTCTGCCTGAAGGCAGCTGTGGCCATGGTCCATCTCTAATGCATACCTCCTGTGTGGGAGAGGAGATTCCTGGTCAGAGGCAGGTTGGATTCACTGGCTTCTGAGGTCTCTTAAGCTCTTAGTCTATTATCCATGATTCCATGCTTCTATAATGGAACTGTTTTCTTGAGCTCCTAGACCAAACAACCAGCATGTCAGTGTGGACTGCAGGGACTGGAAGTTGCACAGATTGGGGATGCAGCTGCTTCTGCCTCCTGTAGACCAAACAGTCTGGGGAGAGGCTTGCTGTTTGAAAGAGGGAACAATCCTGAACCTTCCATAATCCCTATCCTAAAATATAGTTACCTCCCAAACAGAGAGGAGACCTTGAGGTATAGGGCTCGGTGTGTGTCACTGCAGATCACACATCACGAAGACCAGGGATAAGGGATAGAGAATAAATGTACTGTTTCATGGATAGAGGGAACTCCCAGATGAGGGAAGTGCCTCTACCAGTGCAAGTCAGCACATTCTCTGCAACTTACAGACTTAGAGAGTTACCTAGAGCAAGGAGAGGTTAAGTGATCTACCCAGAGTCACATAACCATTATGTGTCAGAGACAGGTCTTTAACTTGGCTCTTCCTGGCTCTGAGGCCAGTGATAAATAAAGTATACCTCTGTGAAGACCAGACAAGATTGAATTGCCTAACTCCTCCTTTACCAATTAGCCAGAGCAATCACTGTGGAAATTCGAAATAAGACACTTTTGAGTGTCCCCTTCAAAAGAATGGCCCAAGGCATCCCAGGCCTGCTGGGCTTTACCAACAGAATCAACCAATAAATCAACTACCAAGTACTTATTAAGCACCTTCTATGGCAGAGGTTCCCAAACTTATTGGACCTACCTCTCCCTTTAAAAAAATTACTTAATGCCCCTCTGGAAATCTACTTTCTTTGACCCTTTAGTGTTTTTTTTTAAATGTGTGTCATTTCAAAAAATATGAAATGTATTTTTTAAGTGACATATCTTACATTTAATAATTTATTGTAAATTTGTGGGTTTTTTCCTGCATTGAAATTTTGATCATGCAATATTACATCATGTAACCCATATAGTACTGTATTGTAAACAAGTCATTAGGTGCATGTTAAACTTCCCAACAATGCTCTATTGGAATCACTTACCTATGAACACTTGCTTGTTAAGACCTGTTGGTGGACTTGACCACTGATTGGTTATAACTTGCATTTTGTGTGTTTATTTGAAAGGTAATGTAATCATTATGACTTTAACCCTGTTACCCAATAGATGAAACATGTATGAATGGTTTTTCAGAATATTTTTATCTTCTTTCCTTATGCTTCCACTGCCCCCATGTTTTTATTCAATGCCCCCCAATTGCATTCAAGGCTACCACTGCCCCCCTGGATTGTTCCAGCACCCTCCAGGGGTGGTATTATCTACTTTGGGAACCTCTGCTTGGGATAGGCACTGTACTAGGTCCTGGGGATAAAAATATAGTGACTAAAACAACACCTGCTTGAAAAGAGTTTGCGGTTGAATGGGGGAGCTTACAGCACAATCAGCCCCTACCTGTCAGTCCCTGTATCTTCCTCAGTCCCCATAGCTGAGGATTGAGAGTACCCACAAGGAGACTCAGCATCCAAGCCAAGAAGAGTTCTTCCCCCATAGCTCATGTTGAAGACAGTGATAAGTGGCATTGCCAATGGTTTTCATTCACAATGATCTTTTCTCAGGTTCTGCAGTAACTACACTCATCCCAGCAACATCTGTCTCCCTCACCATTTGCCAGCACCACAGGTAAAAACCATCAGCACCTATGGCTATTTCTGGGATAGTACTAAATGTGAGACTAGAAGATGGGAAGTACAAAACAAGGTGGCATTTAGGATTGGGAGATGTCCCATCAAATGGCCATCACTGGGACTCAGAATGCTGCGTTTCTTTCCCAGGAAGGAGTAAGACACTAGTAGCTGGGTGTTTTTTAGGTGTGCTGACCAATGTGCCCTAGTTTCAGGTATGACGACTTGTCTCCTTCTCTTTCTACAGCCCATGGCCACAGCCTGGAGGCATTCACCTCGAATTTCACCATCAATAACCTGATCTACACTGCAGAAAATGGAGCACCCAGACTCCAGTGCATTCACTACCACTGACAGGATCCTACAGCATCTGGTGAGATGACCCCACCACCTGCCTCCTTTCCTGCCTGTGCCATTGTATTCTGCATACCTTTGATTCCAGCTACTGCCTTAGCCAGGAACTGATTCAGCTTCCCCTTCCTTTTCCAGCTTGGCCACTTATTCCAGAACAGCAGCATTGGCCCCACCTATTCTGGATGCAAGCTGATATTCCCGAGGTGAGAACCAGGAAAATTCACAGTTGAGCAATTGATTGAGAGTGTATCCTCCTGGCCTCCAGTATCAGAGATTTCCTAATGGGCTGTTTCTAAACCGGGGCTCATGGGATACAAGCACAATAGCAGAGCTCTCCATATACTGACCTTCTACTATACCTTCTCCATGTTTAAATTCCCAAACTGCTTTATCTCCATTCATCTGGTCCATGGGTTCTCAGGAAAATAAATTCCCTTTTAAGTCATAACTTAGGACAAATGCCTATATATCAAGATAGTTCTCCTTAGTGGGAATTTTTGCTTCTTCAACAATCTTATCCCAGAAGGTAAGTAGTATCCATCAGACATCCTGGAAGGTCTCTGTTAATCCTATCATGTCATGTCACAGGCAGCCCTCTCATATTACTTTCATTGTCCCTCTATCTGAGCGCTCCTCAGGCTAATCTCTTAGCACCAGTCACTAGAGCTTCCACCAATATTTCCTTCCCCAGACCTATGAAAGATGGATTAGCAACTGGAGTGGATGCCTTGTGCACCTACCAGAAAGACCCTAACAGACCTGTCCTGGACAGAGAAAGGCTTTACGGGGACCTGAGGAACCAGACGTACGGCATCTCCATGCTAGGCCCCTACTCCCTTGCTAAGGACAGTCTCTATCTCAATGGTAAGCAGCCTCACAGTGGCCACTGCATCTGCCCCCCTTTCTCTTCTGCTATAATCTCAGTATTAGCCTCTTTTCCTGTCTTTCTTATTTTCATTCAATCCCTAACCTATTCTAGAACCATTTCTTCTCCATCCCTTGTTGAGATATTTGCACAAGATTAACTCTCCCCATAGCACTTAACTGGGGAAATGGTTCCTAATGGGTCCTGGTTTGTTGTTACTTGTGGCAGCCTCACAGTCCCAGTCAATACTTTTATTTTTAAACATAAATTGGCATGATTATCTTTTGTTTTTTATCTTTTGTTTTTACATCACCTACATTTCTCAATAAATCCTCTCACCTTCCAGAGAGCCATTTCTTACAACAAAGAATGGGAGGGGCAACAATTTAGCAAAACTAACCAAAATAATGAAAAGTTAGACATTATACATCGTGTTCCACATCCCTAGCTTTCCACTTCTGTAAATAAATGGATGAAAGTGCCTTCTCCTATCTATTCTTTGGGTCATTACAATTTTGCAGCATTAAGCTTCAATTGTTTTGTTATGTTCAGGAGTTTTAGCATTGACTTTGATGGAGATGTTTTTTTTTTCAGAGTCCAGACTTGTGTTTTTATTAGTAGAGAGTGGCTCCCAATGAGTAAACTCTTTCCAGTGCAGATGGGCAACTCATCTGTGACCTAAAGTCTTATAGAATTGGCTGAAGCATTCTGAGGTTGATACCCATAGTGATATAGCTAATGTATGTCAGAGTTCTGTACTTGAGTTCAGGTCTTCCTGACTCCATGTCTGACCCACTACCCACTACACCATGCTGTCTTTCATAGCTTGAGACATAGTGTCAAATGTAGAAATGAATGAATCTGGAAAGGATAGCTTGCTGATGTATTAGACAGACCAGTGTCCAACAAAACCTCAGTACACACAAATGATTGATAAGGACTAGCAAGGTAAAATTTATTAAAAATAAGCATGAAGTTCTTCAGTTAAGCTTAAGAAATCTAATCCCATAAATGCAAGATGGAGTAGACATGGCTAGACAAGTATTTCATGCAAAGAAGACCTGGGGGTCTTAGTGGACTGCAAGCTCAATTGGAGGAAGTCCTAAAACCATGTGAGATGTTAGCCTTCATAGAGATATATCATATCTAGAAGGAGGAATATGATAGTTCTGCTGTCCCCTAATGTCCCCTCATCTGATATATTGTGTCCAGTTTTAGGGCCACATTTTGGAGCACTGACAAGATGAAGCATGCCCAAAAGAGGATGAATAAGATGAGGAGGGAACTTGATACCATGTAATAGGAAGATTGAGAAAACAGATTTTTCTAAGTATAAAGGAAGAATTTCCTAAAAAGCAAATTATTATTATTATCAATTTAATATAGCACTTTAAATTTGCGAAGTACTTTACAAGTATTATCCCATTTGATCCTCAAAACAACTCTGGGCAGACAGGTGTTATTATTATCACCCTCATTTTATAGAGGAGGTAGCTGATGTTCCAGGGCCCTGGCCAGGGGAGGGGAAGGTTGAGAGAGAAAGGGCTCCACTCCAGGCTTTCCTTGTCCTCAGTGTGCTGAATACTTATTAGAAGCCAAAAGACTGAGGAGGAAAGACTAGGGCCAAAGCAGGATGGCCAATCAGAGTGTTTGCTCCCTGTTGTGTTTCCAAAGACCAAGGCATAGCAAGAGTGTGTTCATTGGAGCACCTAGGCTCAAGCCCCCGAAGGCTCTACCCCAAATTCCCTCTGCCAACCCACCCCAAGCTGTAAGTTTCCTTTTTCTGTCCCCAGGACCGGCCCTCATGTCAAAGAGCTGGGGGAGCATAGGGAAATTCCCCTCTCTTCCCCTTCAAGCAGCACATGTTCCAGGTGCCAGGAGGCCTCAGATTGAGTCATCTGGACTCAGCTGTTCTCCCCACTTTCAGCTTCTCTGATGATCTCTCTTCCTTCTCTGGTTGGGTAGTGTGCTCCTTCCCTTCATTATCCAATCCTTTGTTTTCCATGTTATGATGAACACCTTCCAGTCCAACCCTTTCCCGGTAAGTATTTAAGCATTTGGATTCCCTTTGAGTTCTAGATTATATTGGAATCTTGAGTCTGGTTCCCCTGGATAAAGGTCCCATTATGCCTCTATGAAATAGTTGTGACTTGTACTATAGTACTTGACTCTGTGGCCCACTGAGGCACCACAAGAAAGGTATTCCTGCAGTGGAATGGCTACATGTAGAAGTAGTGAGTTCCTCATCACTTGGAGATCTTCAAATGGATGCTCTGTGACCACTTGTCAGGGATGTTCTGTGGCATAGGTGCCCTCTGAGGGTGCCTTCAACTCTAAGTCCAATGATTTTGGAAGGGAAAAGCCTAAGAGACCCAGAATCATCACTCCTACTCCAGAATTCCTCTCCTTTAGGTTAGATAATGATTACTAGTGAAGCTGTCCAAATAGGGAGATTGAGAAGACAAACAGGTTACAAATCTCTGGAAGAGGGTATTGAGATGGGGATCTCACATCATGGGTTGCCATGAAGTATGGAATTCCCTCTTCCTTCTCCCTACATATGTATAAAAGATTCACTCACAGTACACCTTATCTGATGATCATGTGACAGGATCCTATTTTAGGGCAGCCATCAGAGAAATTTGATTACATCCATTCAATCATCTATTGAGTACACACTTTAGGCACCACTTAGGTTCAGGGCCCTGGACTATACACATGTGGCCACAGTCAACTTCACATTCACATTCATTGTGCTTTCCAGTGTCCAACCATGGTTTCTAATGGCATTCCTTTCCACAGCTCTAGGGTCAGGGACTGCATCCTTATCTGCAACCTCTCTGGAGCCCACAAAGCCTGGAGGCTCCTCAGGTAGGAACGGGGTGATTTCAGTACCCTGGAGAGCTACCACGGGGCCATAACTAGTTGCTGGGGAAAGACTGTAGTACCTAAAAGATGGGAAAGTCTCAGGTTTTTTAAAACGTCTTCACTCTAAGAAATAGTCATTTGCCAGGGGGAGGAAAGTCAGGATGTGTGGCTTGGGGTGTGTCATCTTGGGTCCCATGTCCCAGTGACCGGACAAGATTTTGATTTTTTGGTGATTTAACAACCAGAAAAATCTCTGTGGGGGCCAGGAATGAGTTCACTTGTCCCACCAGAAAGCTGAGGATAGTGAAGGACCAGGATATCCCATATAGGAAGCTTCCCCAGTAGAAGTGTGTCATTCAGATCACTGTTCTCTCTTACTGTGACTGAAACTCCCCCCTCATAGCTCAATCCGTATCTAGAGAGTGTAACATTTCAAGCTAAGCTCATTGAGCCATTTCCCCCTTTGAAGTTCATAGCCCATTCCCCTTATAATGGCACCCAGACAGTGATGTTTCGATGCTTTTCCACCCCAATAACTTTTCAGCTCCTGCATCAACTGCATTTACCCCAGAAGCATCTCTCGTTCCTTCCCTCACCACAGGTACAAATGATCTGCATCTATTATTCATTCCAGGAAAGTCTAATTGGGAATGAAATTTGAAAATTGGAGATGAAGAAAAAGGGGAACTCAGGGCAGGGTGGAATGGGAGACGTACCCTCATGGGGACCCTGGTGACACCGGGATGTTGAGTGTTCCTTCCAGAAAGGGAGAGCTCAACAGCTGGGTGCCTCTGAGTGTGCTGATGCACCCAAACTTCAGACATGGAGGATTCTTTCTGTTCTCCACTGCAGCCACTGGCCACAGCCTGGAAGCTTTCACACTGAACTTCACCACCACCAACCTGCTCTACACAACAGATGTGGAAAACACTGGTTCCAGTAAATTCAGCACCACAGAGAAAATGCTGCAGCACCTGGTGAGACGCAATCTACCACACATACCCAAATCCTTTATTCTCTACCTGTAAGATTTTCTTCTGCATGTCTTAGACTATAGGCCTTGCTTAGAGACAGAAGCTTACTTCCCTTAGGAAGCATCTACATGGTTTGTTGGATAATAGCTAGTATTTATATAGCACCTTAAAGTTTTCACAGCATTGTACATAAGTCATTTCATTTGCTCCTCACAATAGCCCTAAGAGGTAAGTGCTATTATCACCTCTATTTTACAGATGAGGTAGTTGAGGCAGACAGATGTTAAATGACTTGCCCAGGGCCACCCAGCTAATAAGTTTCTGAGGCTGCATTTGAACTCAGGTCTTCCTGACTCCAGGTTCTAGCCTCTACCCACAGGAACACCTAGCTGCTTCAGTCTTAATAGAGTGTCCGACTTTGAGTCAGGTAGAACCAAGTTCAAATGCCACCTTAGATACTTAAAAGATGTGTGACCTTGGGCGGGTCACTTGCTTTCTCTCAGATAGCACCTACTTCATAGGGCTATTGCAGGGAACAAATGAGATAAAATGTGGAGTGCTTTTTAAACCTTAAAATGTTAGAGAAGTGTTCCCTCTAATTATTATTTCCCTCTCTTTCCTTTACCACCTCAAACTCCTGTTCAGGAATAGCAGCACTGGCTCCCTCTAGTCTGAATGCAGAGTGACATCTTTGAGGTGAGATCCCATAATCTGAGGGTTGTTTTGATGAGGGCATGCATTCTCAGTTCCCAGTCACACAGCTCAGGTTAAAGCTGAACAAACAGCAGAGGCAACCCCGCCCCATGCTTCTTCCATGTTCAGATTCCCCAAACTGCTTCATTTCTACCACTCTGGTTTGGATTCTTGGAACAGAGATTGCCCTTATAAGTCATGATTTAGAACAACTTCGCTGATGTCAGGCTCTCTTTAATGAAGATCTGTGATTGCTCAATGGTCCTACCCACATGGTAGATGTGGAAGCTCATCAGTCTTCCCAGGGTCACTTTCACCTTTTGCCGTAGTGACGCACACATCTCAATTTCATTGTCCCCATACCTGTGATACCCACTAGATGTCTCTGTAGCCGTCTCAGGGGTCTAGATCAACATTTTCTTTCTCAGCTGTAAGAAGCAACAGGAATGAATGCTGTGTGCCTCCACTGGAGAGAACCCAGTGTCCTCTTTCTGGACAGAGAGAGGGTTTATTGTGAGCTGAGCAAACTGAGAAATGGAATCACCAGACTTGGCCCCTACATCTTGGATAAGAACAGTCTCTACGTCAATGGTGAGCAGCCTGTCTCTCCCCAGTCCATCTTTGTATAATCCTAGTACTAACCTCTTTTCCTATTGTCCTCAATTTATTCAGTCCCTCGCCTCCCCTTGAACCTTTTCTTCTCATTCTTCCTTTGTTTAGCCAACTACATAAGAAAGACCCTATTCATACCTTTTTCCCTAAGGTCCCATTCCTTCTTGGTTGATATTACCTAGTGGCAGCTATGGAGCTTATCAGAAATATGATTTCCCTTCTCAGTTACTCCAAAGAATAAGATCTCTAATATGAATAGGTTTCTATTTTGTGGGATTATTAGCTGCTCAACACTCCTACCCACGCAATCAATACACCACTGTCACATACCATTTTCACAAAAACTCGAGCAAATCAATTTCACCTTCTCTGAACTTGGAGGTTCCCTTCCCCATCAGGCTCTCTGGCATCCAATCTAGTACCACACATAGTATGTCAGAGGCAGGTCTTATATACATATCTATGGGCAGCTAGGTGGTGCAGTGGATAGAGCACCACGCCTGGACTCAGGAAGACTCATCTTCTTGAGTTTAAATCTGGTCTCAGACACTCACTAGCTGTGTCATCCTGAGCAAGTCACTTAACTGTGTATGATTCAGTTTTCTCATCTGTCAAATGAGCTGGAGAAAGAAATGGCAAACCACTCCAGTATCTTTGCCAAGAAAACCCCAAATGGGTCATGACGAGTTGGACATAACTGAAACAATTGAATAACAACAAAATATATCCATACACATGTATATGCATATGTACATATGTATATAGACACACAGTGTATTAAAGGCAGGTCATATACATGCATAAATATAATACACACATACATAAATATACATATATATCCATAAATGTGTATATACATATATATACCCACAAAATAATTATAAACTTACATGGGGAAGGTACTAGACAGACTTTATGCAGAAAGGGCATTTAATCTGAGTCATAAAGGAAATTAAGGATTCTAAAAGGCAGAGGGAAGGCAGGAGTGCATTCCAGAGGAGCAGAAGCTAAATTATCTTTTGCTGGTAATGCTGTATAGAATTCCTTCTCAGGTATGAACTAGAGATATAGTAGGTTCTCCCAGTCCTAAGTTTCTAGGGAGAGAAATTGTGGAGACCTCTCATTCAATTTCAGTCTATCTCTATTCTTGGCATCCTGAAGCTTCCCAGCAGGTTAAGAGGCTGGGAAAAGAACCTTGGGGATAAGCCAGGACAGGAAGTCAGAAAATTTGCTCCCTTGGATTCAAAAGACTAGGGAAGCTCAAGGATGGATTGATTTGAACACTAATTCTATATGACCCCCCAGTTTTCCTCAAAATTACAAATACTTTCTTTTCTCTAATCTTCATGGCAGAGACCCCAAGAGTAAATAAATAAAAGAATTTTCATCTCCCCTTCCCCAAAGATCAGATCTCCCCTAGAAGCATGAAGTAAGCATATAGTCCACAGTATGCCCATACCTCTCAAATTGAGTTACTGGGGAGCTCTCTTACTTTCCTTCCGGAGTCTTGTGATGCCCTTACTCACCTGTCTTTTGGTTTCTAGGTTATAATGAGCATGATGCAGCCCTGCCTGCTACCAGTAAGTAAGGGGGCATCTAAGTCCCCTTTGGGTCCTTATCCTTGTTCTCCCATGACACTGGAAGTTGGGATTTGATTGCACAATATTAAACAATTGTGGCTTCGCTAGTCCCTTCCCTTAAAACCCATTCAGGTATCTTGAGGGAGGAAAAGTCCTAGAGGGGGAAATATATAATGAGTTCCCATCCCTGAAGGTTTTGAGCACAGATATGATGGCTGTTTGTCAGGGACATTGCAGAGTGAATTTTTTTTAACAAGATGGCCTTTGAGGGCCTTTTAAGCTCTGAGATTCTGTGAGAAGAAGGTGCCTCCCTCTCCTCAAAGAGGAGGAAAGGCATCCTAGATTGTTCCAACCTTTCCTGACTTGGAGCTATGGGCTCACCCTATAAGATCCCCCAATTTCTCGGTCAGAATTTGACTGGTGGTGACTCGCCAAGCTGTTCCCACAAGGACACTGGAGAACAGGTGGCGGGGGATTCATAAGTCCACAGGTGAACCTCAGCTCTGTGAGAAAGTGGTGAGAGGGGAGCCTTGATTTCTACTTACTAGTCCCTAAGCTAGCCGCCAGTGTAGCCAGAATGGCACAGTGACTCATTTATTGAATGATTATTAAAGCCCTCATTCCCCTAAATGGAGGCTGAGGGAGTGCTATGTTGGTGCTCTGATGACTACAGCCTTGATGAGTTCTCCATCAGTGAGTAGCCACAGTCCGACCGTCTCTAATGACACTTCTTTCTGCAATTTCTGGGTTAGACAATGCGTCAACATTTGCAACTCTCCATGGCTCCACACGAAAGGGAACCTCCACAGGTAGGACTGCGGCCTCTTCAGCACCTTGGAGAGTGATTGCTACCACCCCTCCCCAACATCATTGCCCTGGCACAACCCAACGAGAGTAAACAACTGCTAGGACTTTTAAATTTTCTAATTGTTCAGAGACATATTCACCTGTCAAGGCAGGGGCAATGGAAGCTAGGGCCATGTGACTTGTCATGTTATCTTGCAGTCCTGTGTCACGGGGACTGAGCAGAATTTTATTCTCTGTCAGTTAATTCAGTTCAGCCTAGGAAGCATTATTCATCATCTGCTATGTGCCAGGCACTGTTCTGGGCACTCAGGATTCAAAGCCAAGGAAAGAAAGAAAGAAGTTGAGCTCTCCAGCAACTCGTTCTCTCTACAGGCAAACAGATTAAATATGTATGAAATACAGACAGAGTGAAAACAAAGGTATTTCAAGGGGATAGAAGAAGAGAGAGAACAAACTAAGTTTGGGAAGGCCTCAGGGCTATGTTTTGAAAGAGGCTAAGGACTCGGTGAGGTAGAAGTAAAGAGTTAAGAGAACATCTAGTCAGAACAATATCTTTGGGAACTTGTCATGAGACCTTGTATCCCTCTCTAAAGGTGAAGAAAGTAGCAGCCCAGAACATCTCAGGCAGGAAGCCCCAAACCTGACAGTCTTCAGTAACAAAGACTTTTCTCCCCAGGCCCTGTTCCCTCCTACAGTGCTTGACTCTCACCTTCCACTTCTCTGGGTTGAGCTCCCACCCAGTGGCACTGCCTTTCACCCTGTTGTCATGTGCCTTGCCTATGCCAATCACATTCTGATCTTGGCAATGCTTTTTATTCATCAGGGTTTCTTTTTTCCATCAGCTCCTGTGCAGACCACACATGAGCCATCATGGCTCCATTCTCTGGCTCCACTATCATTCTCCAGCACTACAGGTAGAGAGCACCTGCATCTCTGATTCATTTCCTGGAGTGTCTTGCTGTCTTTAGAGAAGAAATGAGGGGTTGGGAAGCCAGGAAAAGGGGAATTAGGGAAGGGGAGAGGTCCCCTAACAAAGGGCATCAGTGGGGCCAGGAGGCAGAATTTTCCTCCCAGAAAGGAATAAAGACAGAATCCACAGGCTATCCCCACTTATGCCCACTGGTGTTCTACAGGCTCCAATATGAAATTTCTCTCCCTCTTCTATTACAGCTGATGGCCAGAGCCTGGAGTCCTTCACACTGAACTTCACCCTCACTAACCTAATGTACACAGAAGACATGGGGCCCCTGGGTCCATCAAATTCAACCGAACAGAGATAATCCTGCAGAACCTGGTGAGCCTCCCCAATTCCCGCCCCAGGTCCCACCTGTACAGCTGTGCCTTTCCCTTTCCTGGGCTTCTTACCTGCCTAGTACTGAGCACATTGACCTCCTCTTTTCTTTTCCAGCTCAGTTGCTTGTTCAAGAGAAGCAGCATTGGCAACTTCTACACCGGGTGCAAAGTGGCCTCCCTGAGGTGAGACTCCAGAGGCTATAGAATGAGAATTGGAATGTGTCCCTTGACCCCTCAGGGGCACATAAAACCCCCTGGGCTCTCCACTGAGGTGGCTTCTTCACATTCAAGTGTCTTGAGCTCTATTTTCAAATTCCCAGATTGCTTTATCCCTGTACCTTTTGTGCATGGTTTATCAGAAATGTGATTTCCCTTCTCAGTAACTCCTTAGAACAAGATCTCTATTATAAATAGGTTTTTATTTTGTGAGCTTATTAGCTGCTCAACACTCCTACCCACACAATCATCAACCATTTTCACAAAAACTCAGGTAAATCAATTTCACCCTCCATGCACTGGGTGGTCCCCCCATCAGGCTCTCCAGCACCAACCTAGTACTATGTCTCTTATCAATGTGTCTTTTCCTAGACCAAAGAAAGATGGCTTAGCAACAGCTGTGGATGCCGTGTGCACTCATTGGAGAGACCCTACTAAATCAATTCCAGACAGAGAGACAGTCTACTAGGAAGTGAGCAAGCAGACACGTGGCATCAGCAGGCTGGGCCCATACACCCTGGATAAGAACAGTCTCTACCTCAATGGTGACTAACCAATCAATAAACAGTAATCATTAAGCAACTGCTATGTGCCAGATACAGTGCTAGGACCTGGGGATACAAACACAAAAAAAAATAATTCCTACTTATGAGAAGCTTACATTCCAGTGGGAGAGAACAGGGACATATGTAAACATGCAGCTTAAATATAAAGTTAATACATGCAAATATATAGAAAATAGTTTGGGAGGGAAAGCTCTAGCAGTGGTATTCAGGAAAGACCTCATGCAAAAGATGGTGATTGAGCTGGGTCTTAAATGAAAGGAGGGACTCTAAAGTAGAGGTAAGGAGGGAATATATTCCAGGCCTGGAGGATGTCCAGAGGAAAGACATGAAGACAGGAGATGGAATGTTGTATGAGGAAAAGAAAGAAAGTAGCTTGGCAAGATTGCAGGCTACAAGAGGGGGTGGAAAGAGAGGTTGGAGCCAAATTAGAAAGAGCTCTAAAAGCTAAACAGTGCTAGTCCCAGAGAATAAAATAGGCAATTGGGAGTGTCACTGCAGTTGACTGAGCATGGTCAGATCTAGGTTTAAAAAAAATTCCTTTAGCAGCAGAGAATACAATGGACTGAATTAGGGAGAAACCCAAGGAAGTGAGACCAATTAGGAGGCCTTTGCAATAATCTAAGTGAGAGGGCATGAACGATGGTGGCCGTTGTGTGACTAGAGGGATGAGGTTAGTTGAAAATCACGAAAGTAGAAAACAGAAGACTTGGAAACTGATGTGGGGCAAGGAAAGTGGAGGAGGCCAGGATAATGCAGAAGTTACAAACCTGGAGAATGGAAGGATGGTGGTTCCTTTGATGGAAACAGGGAAATTTGAAAGAGCAACACTTTGGATCAGTGCTCATTTTCTACCTTGTCTCCTGTCATAGTCCCAGAATTAGCATT